TGCATCGGTCGACCCCATAATGTTGGAACCCGAAAGATGTGATAGTCGTATCAAACCTTTCGTGCCATTGTTTAGGAGCTTGTTTTAAACCGTATAGAGATTTAACAAGCTTACACACTTTATTCTCTTGTCCGGGTATTACAAATCCTTCAGGTTGCTCCATGTAAACCTCCTCATTTAAATAACCATTCAAGAAAGTTGTTTTCACGTCCATTTGGTGAATATACAGTCATTTTATGGCGAAAATTGCTATAAGAGTTCGAATGGAACTAATTCTAGCAACTGGAGCATAGATGTCGAAATAATCGACACCCTCTTTCTGTCTATATCCTTTTGCCACCAATCTAACCTTGAAGGATGATATTGAACCATCAGGGTGCATCTTTCTTTTGAATATCCACTTGGAACCGATAGGTTTCACCTCTGTGGGCAAATTTGCCAGCACCCAAGTTCCATTACCCAAGATGGAGTCCATCTTATCATTTATTGCTTCTTTCCACATTGGAGCATCCCTTGAAGTCATCGCCTCTTTAAATGTCTTGGGATCCTCTTCAATACTGACAGAGAAAATGAACTCTCTTGTCACTCTCTTTTGTGTCCCTTCTACCAAGTACGAGAAAAACTCATTTCCCAGATTTTTCTCTTTTCTCACTCTTGTGCTTCTTCGTGGTTCATCAGCCTCTATAGAGGTTTTGGAACTAACACGAGATGTGTTAGTGAATGCCCAAAAACCAATCATATGATGATTGTAACTTTGAGTTTGTTTCATGAAATTGATAAATATAAAGGCATTGCCCATTTTATTATGTCTATATTATAGTCTGTGTTTTAATTATTCATAACAAATAACATTAAAATAATGTATTCTAAATGTCCCTAGTTAAATATTATTTCGGGTTTAAGGTTGAAGTAATATGATAATGACTAGCATATGTAGGGATTCAAATAGAGATATCGAATCTGCATATGGGTACAAAATGGAGACTTTGTGTATCGGACGTGACTTGTTATGAGAACACTTCATTGGATGTCATGTGAGTGTCATAAGTGTTTCTCATATGGTCAATGTACATGTAATTCTTTGAATTGAGAACATGGAGTTTGTTATGTGTGAATAATGTATTTTGACATTTATTCTAATCATTCCGTAATTGGATGACAGAATGATAGTTGGGTATGTTGCATATCACATAATAGAATTAGCATGTATCGAGATAGAATTTGTTTCTCCTTTATGACGAGAGTGATGTCTCTGGGCCTCTTGATAAATATATACTATAGAAATGCATGCATGCTTAGATATTTGATATGAGATATCATTATCTATTTTTTATTAGTATATTAGGGAATCAAGAAACTAAAGATTGGACATAACGAGAATGACACATTCAATGTCTCGTGTTCAACCTGGACATCAAGGACAAAAAAATTAAATATGTAAAACTAAAATTGACTACAAACCGATAATTTGTTGTATCACCAATTCTCGTCATTTGGATAACGATGATGTATTGCTTGATACCGCTCATCGTTTATAACTATAAATATGAGATTTATATTTATTACCAACATGTCGAGAACCCATTGGGTTACACGCTTTGAACATATTCGAATAAGGAGTTTCAATAATTAAAATTTTAATTATCATATCTGATTTGTAGCGATTTAATCTAATTAAATAAAATCAGATATTATTTATGTTGGACATAAATAAAGATGACTAGGGATGGGCTTTGTAAGAGAGTGATGGTGTAAGAAGGTCTTACACTCAAGCATGGTATGAGACATGGTGGAGGTATGGTGATGGTTAGGCCATACATCTCATGTCCATATAAAATGTATGACATTTTTTATGCTAGTTAGTTTTTTGTCTTGCAATTCTCTTTTAAAAACCACCTACAACAATATGCTCCATTTTCTTTCTAAGTTTTGAAACCGTGACTAGCATCACGAGAAGGCAAATGATTCGAATTGTTCGCGTGGATACCGTGGAGGCATCAAGCTTTGTTTGTTGCTGTGATTCAAAGTCTCGCTAACTGTGAGGTATAATTTCGAAACACCCGATTTATTCCGGTTCGTATGGGTTATTGGAGGGTTATGGTTTTATTTTTCGCTGTGCTTGAGATCCCGTAACCCAACAGTGGTATCAGAGCTACTTACGAACCTCTAGATCGGTTTTTTGTGACATGCATGCTATATTTAAAAAACTGTTTTTGCTGCTGTATGTTTTTGTTTCGTAAATATTTTGTTTTTTTCGTCTCAGAAATGTTATGAATCTCGAAAATCTTTAAACATGAAAAACCTAGATCTTTCTGTCAGCTTTCCACAATTTTTTGAATCGCATCATTTCGACTTCGTATGAATTTTTTATGAATTGTTTACGACAGTGTCGCAATGCTGTTCGAAAATCGAACCCACTACGGGTTTGACTTGGTTTTCGGCCCATAAGGGTTCTGGATCTTTAAAATCCTAAAACATAAAAGATGTAGATCTTTTTGTTAGTTTTTCAAAGAACTTTGAATCCCCTTTTTTCAATGTTGTATGAATTTTGTATTTTTTATACGGTGGTGTTGCAAATCGATTTTATGTTTCAATGTGATTGAATATGTATAATGTGATTTGTTTGGTGAATGGTTATAGCTCTTAGTCTTGAATGTATTATATTTGATAAATACGACTTGCACGTCGTGCCTTTCTCTATATACTCTCTTTGTACATTCTCCTCTCATACAATCCCCTCGAATGTAACTCGAGGTTTCTTTGATTGAATTGTAAAGTATTTTGTATAAAAGAAAGCGAGTGATGGAGACATTATGARGTGAYGAAGATAAGAAGACTTAGAGTCATAGAAGTTTATTTTATGTAATGATATTCATACTTGGCTCTATGAATATCGCATAAGGGGGCTATAACCATCTCACATATTTTTTACGCTTTATATATTGTGATATATTATGCGTGGTTATTTGTATGTAATACTTGTTACAATCTTTTAAAACAAAATATGTTTTTTTTAAAAAATGTATAAGTAAAAGGAGTTTTACAAATCAAAATGAGTTTTGATAAAAGTAAAAAGAAAAATGGTTTTATATAAGATATAAAATGGACCATCGATCTCGAGTGATAAGGTCTTAGTACATCATGCAAGATATCAACCGGTTTTGTCACAAAGGTCTAAACTGCCTAAGAAAGGAAGGTATTCAAGTGATCCTTGTGATCCACCTCCAATYTGGATTCCGGTTGAATCAAGCGATGAGGAAATGATCTATCACAAAAGAAAGAATGGTATATTCAAACTAACTAAAATCCCTCGCCAAAATATTAAGTTTAAGATGTCTTTCAAACATGACACTTATCAAGACTTTGATCATCGAGGGTGGGTCATGCTAACTCTTTAATCTTAGTAAGATAAGGTAAGCATAGGATTCCTACAAGCCATTTTTGGGTCAGACGTAACCAATTAAAGCCTAATAGGATTAGGGATTTGGAGGCATGAGTTGGGAACATTCATATGATGAATTTAAATAAAAGTTGTTTACTCAACTATCCAARAGTTACATAGAAATGTAATTAGCAATGTTGTTGCTTACCTAAAACATTATTGGTTGA